ATTGCTCTACAAATCTCGAACTTGTATGGAACAAATTTTCTCTGTTATATATTTTGTGTTTTGTTTTTGTTTTTTTTGTTTTTTTTCTAAAAGAAGCCTTAATTAATGTCTCTCCGGTTGCATGTCCGTCGCATTCAGTGCTGCAGCACTTTGATTTAAATTATCGATCAATTGAATAATTCATAAAATCTAATTTGTAACTTTGAATAATTCCTCGGCATCTTTACTAAACACGGATAACAAATTGAATAATTAAATAAAATGTTTCAAAGTTGATAATGTCATTTTAATACCATAAAAAATGTACCTTTTTCTCAATTATTGTACATATCACGGATTTATATTACATAAAAAACCGTGTACATATTTATTGTTTTTATCTCATATAGATAAAATGAAACATGCTATTGTTGTTTTTTTCTAATTGTAACGATATCAAACATCTACTCCAAAACCGGGAGAGACCGGACAATAAACGTGTGGTACTATTCGCCGGTCACTAGTAAATCCTGGTCAAAATATACCGGGAGAGACCGGCATTTACCGATAGGAGTGATAAAAAGATATATCTATAAATAGGTTTTTGGAATATTTAGGTCATCAACTGATCATTCTAGGATACATGTACAACAATAACATACCATGACATGATAACCGACTGTGTACTACAAAATGATAAATAAAAAACCCCGAAGAGCGCGATTTATTGACGGAAAAGGTTATTTCATTTGTAAATGTTTGCATTGCGAAAATTCATTGTAACATATCGCGACATTTCATTCTTATTTAATAATCAAGCACCCTCATACCGATCGGAATTTTCGGCTTTTATTATGACCGACTAAAAGGCTCGAGAAGTTGCTGTCGCCCTTTCACAAAATCTGATCTCATTCCATAAGAGCGCCGCGCTTCGGCGCGGACGCCAAAAATATGCAGGACTAATAATCCAATGGTCAAAAGGCGCATACAAAAGGCGTCTGTTTAAGGTATCAATAGACGACTTTTTCATCCGTAATTTAAATTTAAACAGCTTAGTGTTAAATATTATACAATTATTGACTAGTGAGCCTTTGAATATTATGTGATATTCACCAGCAGATGACATCGGCTCGGTCAATATGACTTTCTGCCGGTGAATATCACATCATATTCAAAGGCTCACTAGTCAATAATTGTTTTATTATATGAATATGCTAAGAAATAATAAAAAAAAAATATCACAAAAAGTACAACTTTATATGCATGTACAATATATTGATTATGACTTTCAGACAAATTTTCAATAATAATCTTAATGAAATAGATTTTGTTTTTCTATGTATGTCAAATACGTACATTCGTTACTATAAAACCACGTGGTCGAACTACTTTCAAACCGTATTAGCCGAGTTGTTCCGCTTGATCCGAAGGCCGAGAAGATGCGATTGTGATAATTTTGGAAAACCAATTTAAAAGGATGGATGAATCTATTTTTAGATTTTTACACAAGCCTGCTTTTTAGAACATATGCATATTTACGTTTGTTTTATATTTGAAAAAGTTTGACGTTGACGAGCGTTTTTTAACGTTCTTTTAGTTTATTCTTGTAGCTGAAGTGTTATTACATTTGTCAGGAAAGGGCGATGTTTTATCATAGACAATAAGATTTATTATTATTATTATTAACATTATTATTTTCATCATTAAATCTATATAATTTATTTTCTTTAATTTATTTTCAAAAAGAGATATTTTTAAAATATGTGCCTTACGATCCAAACACTTCTCTTTAAAAAATAGTAAAGTTAGCTAAACAACATTTTATAAGCTCCGGTACACTATTAATTTAACATAACTTGAACTTTTTTCGCCTGAAAACTGGTTCGATATTTTTCATAATGCTCTAGATAGTCGGTTAAAGTGACAGATCTTCTTTAGCCCTTTAGACAGCAAGATTGTAAAAAATAACGCCATGTGCTCCTACAATGAAACTCAGATGTAGCATACTAAGCAGTAATTGTCTGAAACAATAAATTTTGTTTTCAAAATCAGTTTGGATTGAAACAAATTTCAAGAATAAACAGAACCTCTTTATTCCTGCTCCCTATGCCCTGTCCCAGGTCCAAGGGCCGTACGTGGTTTCAAATAACCCACACACAAGAACCGGTAATTTTATATTTATTTTATCTCTCACTAGTATCCTGCATTTGTTCTGTAAGAGCAGTCACATGTTGACCTACTATTTTTCTACAGTTGAACTATGTGACTTGTCATACTTTGTTTGTTTCAACAACAGTATTTCGGTCATATAGGCGGGTAGTTTCCTAATCATACAAATACAAAATGGCCACAATTCAATAAAATTCAACAAAATTGACAAATAACTAATTATTTTCCTCCAAAAAATTATAGATATAAAATAAATGATGCTTATGCCCACTGGCATATAGTAATTAAACCTTCCGTCCGTCCGTCTGTCCGTACGAAGTTAACATAAACCGGCAAGTTAGGACTACCTGTACTAATGGCTTCATAATATACAGACTTACTTATCAATAAAAAGTACATGATATTGGCAAGTTATTTGACTATGGCTTCCTTTTTTCAAGTTGTGCTTTTTCAGCACTTCGAAATTGGTGTGATTAAACTAAACCGGTAGACCGAGCTACCTTTAATGGTCCTTTTACTTTTGGTGAAATTAGTGTTTACTGGAGTCAATGTCAAGGGCACTGGTGTCAAAAAATCGTTATTCTTACATTTTTGCTCATACAGCATTTATTTTTAAATCGGTGTCTTTTATGTTTACGGTCTTACCTAGAAAGTTCCTCTTTCTTCGGATTTAGTAAGGGGTCATTAGAGTCATCAAGAAATAAATAAAAAGTAAATAAAAAAAATAAATAAAAAGAAATAAAAAGATTTTTTACACTTTAACATATACAACCTCCCTCTGTTATTGCGCAGTCAAGAACACAATCTCCGCTTAACCGTTCTATGACCTAAATTTTAACTGGTTTCCCAGGCAAGATCATGCATACACGTATCACGTGAAGCGAGTTGTTGTCATGCAATAAGGCCTAATGTTATCAACTATAGTAACGAAACGAACGCTATTTTGTGTGTATCTACTCTCTTCAGACGGTAGCTATTTAATTGTTTTCTTTATTAAACTCTCATGATAGAATAAAATTACCTGGTATTAATTTTCCACGTTACAAATACCTTAAATAATATTGTACTATATATAGAATTATTAAATAAAACCATGTCATGTGTTAATTACATGTAACAAATAATTACAACTATTATGTATACTCATGTGATTCTTAGGTAACTTAAGTTATTATAAAGATATGTTCTGTACAAATAGTCAGATTGGTGTGGTCAGTCAAAAAAGATTGCTTTTAAACTAGTGAAGTAGTAACAGTCTTCTCAGATTTCAAGTAGATCTAATTCGATGACAAACAGGAAAACATGCAGTCATCATGCATGTTTGATACTAAAGTGTCCACTGAAGTTATTTAACACTGTTCGAGTCCACCCAGAAACGAAAGTCCAAATTCTTTAATTCATGCAGATATTATTGCTTACGGGAAGTGTCTGTGCTTGATTGGTCCTAAAATAATACTTGCACTGACAACTGGAACTTCCATCCACTTGTCAGTCGTTTACTGCTTGAAAACATAAATACATTATAACGCATTTAAGCTTTTTGATATATTTTTGTCGCTCTTAAAAATTTCTAAAAATATTCATTCATCAAGGAGAAAAATGTGATAGGGGGAATAAATAAGATTATATGATCCTTCGATTAATAGATAAAAATCAATCAAATAAAGAAGCATTATAATTATGTAGTTTTTACATGAATAATAGTGGAGAAAAACAACAACAGCAACCAAAACGTTATTCTTTTAATATGCCCGTTAGCTTTGTGTCATGAAGTAGATTCCTTTTGGGCTTAGTGCTCTACTGATTACAAGAGATGTTTCGATATTTATTACTCTTTTACAATTGTCATTCAATCTTGACGTGCAATTTTTCATTTACTTAAAAGGCTATAAAATGAACTGTTTATTAAAACATAATTTTACTACGAACGCGAACTGTAAAAAAATCACACTTTCAATGCATTTTTTGCTAAATCTCAAATGAATATACTCGTAACACCTCTTTTAGCTTTTTACAGTATTGCTATTTTTTAAAGTGGTTGTCAGCCTGTCATTATAGGTTAATGTTCAGATGCAAATATTATAGTTTCTTAGTCATAATTATTTTGGGAAACGCACTTTATTTCACTATAAATTAAACTGATCACCAACACGTATATTTAAGTTGTTTTTAGGGGGGAAAATGAGGCTTTAAAATGAGATTTGTACATATAAGTCTTCAAGACTTGTATCATAAAAGAATAACTTCCATAATTGTACAATATGTCAATGAGATTTGTTAGCTAATTTATTATACTATTATTATTATAACATTTTACGCTTTTTCTGATGTTTTTTTTCTGTAGAGCTCTATAGCTTGCGTCTTTTGTACAAGAACTTTACTGAGGTATATTATATCTTATAGTTCCTTTTGTTTTGTTTTAGAAAGGTGTCTTTCGCCACCAGTGGAAAAGCATCTCTGGCCTTGATAAAAAAAAAGCAAAGGCTACTAAGTTGTAAACATAACGTCATCTGCGTGTTGAAGGTGCTACTTTGTAAAGAGACAGCGGACTACTTTACTCGTTCTGGACATTTGGAGAGATTTAATGTATAATTATTATGCAATATGTGAAAGATTATATCGTGTGAATCATAGCGAAATTAAACGGACTCAATATATACTCAAATCTGTACAATAGGTACGAGATTATAAAAACAAAACAGACTGTAAGTCCTAAAAGTAATAATAAAAATTGATCTGAAAATTAAAATGTATGTGTAGAAATCGAGTTGAATCAATTTCGATACCTTTCGACAAAATCCAGGCTTTGATACACATTCGTGGTAAGAGAAACACTTATGTCCTCTCCGAAGATGACATCAAATCAGCAGACGTCATCAAATCATTCTACTTTAGTTGCGCAACAAACCACACCTGAGCACCAGACCCAATCTGAGAACGAGCTTTCACATGAAGAGCAGACGACACCAAATGGAGAGACGCTTCCAGAGCAGCAGACGTCATCTGAGAAGCACGCGACATCTGAGGAGCAAGCGACATTTGAGCAGCACGCGACATTTGAACAGCAGTCATCTGTGCAGCAGACGTTATCCGAGCAACACATCACATCTGAACAGCAGACATCATGTGTGCAGCAGACTTCATCTGAGCAACAGACAACAACACTTTCATCAAACACAACATATAGTTTTGAACCTATGATGACAGTTATTAACAAAATAGCAGACGGACAACGAGTTCCGCCACGGACTACTATGAAATATGAAATGTTAAGATTTAGCACCCTCCGATCTTTCCCAAAAGAGAACAAACCTTATATTACCAGATTGGCTGGTGCAGGATTTTATTACGCAAACGAAGGAGATGAAGTCATCTGCTATTGTTGCGCGCGACGTAGAAGAAATTGGACAGAATTCGAAAATCCTTTAGAAGTGCATAGAGAATTAAATCCAAACTGCAGCTTCCTTATTCGTAATTCTGAAGTAAATGTCTCAGTAAGACAAAGTATTGAAAGTTCTACCGGAGAATCTCACTCAAACCTTTCAACAATTAATAGAAGCCAGTCTAACGCCAATTTTCGTAATGAATTAACGGAAGTAAATGTGTCGTCTGCAGTTGAGACTGGATCACAAATTCAAACGAATCAAAACTCTGAACACTCGTCTTTTGCAAGCAATGTGATTTCATTAAGAGGAGGGAACCAGTCTGTTTCACTACTTCCTGTTGATGTACAGCAAACGACTACAGAGAACCAATCTTCAAATAACTCAACAGGTAGTGCTATTTTAGTCACATTCATTTTGTTAAGCAATGCTTTTTATCCAACTACATTTATATATAGGAAAACCCAATGGATTAGAGAAGAAAAAAAAGACATCAACAAAATTCACAACATAATGTCATAGACCGGAAAAGTTTTATTTTTCTTAATGATTTTAACCTGCCCAAGTTATGTAATAGTCCAAAAGTCCTAGACTTAAATAGAGGATATTGAATGAGTGTACGTTCAATACTGAATTTATTGCACGAGTTGAATAAAATTATATTATTCGAGCCTCTGGCGAGCATAATATTATTTTATTCAACGAGTGCAATAAATTCAGTAATGAACTTACACGAATTTAATATTCTATTTATCACATATCCAAAATAAAGTCCGTTTAAAGTGAAATAAGAGTCATTTTTCATTGACGCGCCTATAGCATAACGCTAAGATTTAGCGCGTCTTTACACTATGTTTGTATAACGCCAATGACGTCACGTCAAAATATATGCACGGCCGTGCAATACCATATTTACGGAGTCACAAAATCGGCACGGGTATGTGATAAATAGTTTTATTTACCGGTGGAAAACCACATAGTCTTATAAATGATACCCCTTTAAATAAAGTTTTCATTTTGTTTTGATATTACATACGCAATCGCAATCGACTCCGTGTTTCCAATTTTGATGACAGCTTGTGATTGATTAAGGTTCTTGCTTAGCCTTTGTTTTACTTTCTCGTACCATGATATTATGACCTACATTTGAAAACATTTGTTTATCTTTATCAAATTATCTATTTTCAACAGCGTTTATTTAATCATTTAAACATCATTTATGTGAAAACGGCCACTTATAAGGCAAGTTATATGCTGTTAGTTAATTAAGAGTTAAGAACAAAATAAACAACACAAAAATAAGTATGCTTTTGTGCGAAAACACACACTTTGAAATTTTCAAATGTTAGTCTTCTGCATGAATGTAAAGGACTAGTTGTTACGTAACGTTGATAACAAGCAACTTCACGATTGTGATGTAATATCTAAAATTGCTGCATATCGACAATAAGTAGCTTTATCTGTGTCGAAATACATCAACAAGAGAATAAGGCCATTTATCACAGACCCGTACCGAGTTTCGACTCTGTAAAATTGGTATTGCACGGCCGTGCATATATTTTGACGCGTCGTCATTTACGTAATACAGACATATAGGTGTAAAGACGCAAAATGTTATCGTTATACTATGGGTGCATCAATGAAACAAATGACTCTTATTCACTTAAAATAGAATATCATATTCGTGCATGTTCAATACTGAATTTATTAAATTGTTGAATAAAACAATATTATGCTCGCCATAGATTCGCATAATATAATTATATTCAACTGGTGCAATAAATTCAGTATTGAAATTATTAATTTGATATCCTCTATTTACGTATATTCTTACAAGGGACAGAACTCGTTCTGATTCGTTAATATGGTATTTACAGGTTGTTTCCCTTTCATTATTTGTTAAGTGGTAACATTAACTTATATGTGTTCCTTATAATTATTTGGGAAAGCAATTTTGTTTTTACTTTTTCAGTCATTTCAAGTTATATTATCAACCTAGGTGCTTAGTTGAGAATCAAGAATAAAAGATAGTGATACAAATCAAAGAAGAATATATAGATTATCGACATATTGAAAATGTCACCTTGTTTTCTTTTGTTTGTTTTTTTTTTCTGTTTTTTTTTTCCTTTTTTTATTTGTTTTTTGTTTTTTTTTTTGTTGTTTTTTTTTATCATGGCTTCAATGCGGAAAAAAAATTTTCACGTGAAAAAAAAAAATTCCTCGAAACTGCCATAAGAAGCAGGCAAAAGCGGCTTTGGGTTGTTAATATTGATATTGCCCAAGATTAGTCGATATTTAACAATTCATGATCAATTAGGTTAGTTATTAAATAGTTTAGACAAGACATTCTTACAATGCCTTTATCATATTAATGAATTTTACAGGATTACGTCATTTGTCGGAACAAAATGATACTTGTATAGAACATAGTAGATGGTCAATTGAATGTGCATACGTACGACAGATTAGAGGAAGAGAGTTCGTGAATATCGTGCAAATGGTAGTATTCACAAAACGTATTTATATTTTAATACTTACATTTTTAATACTTTTCATACCAAGCAAAAAGGACATAATTATATGTTTGATGTATACATATATTTAATTTTTAATTGAAAGCATGTAAGGATAAGTCTGTATCGAAAAAGGTAAGTCATATAATATAAAACGTATCCGATATAAATTCTTTACATTGTTCGGATCAATTCCTTAAGTAAATAAGAACTGTAGACTTTCAATTGTGTAAATGTACAATACAATTTGACAGCCGTTGAGATTGATTCCTTATTATTTCTTAAAACGTTATAAATATAATACTGGCTCGAATACACAAACCAATCCAATGTTCTATGAAAAAAGTGCACCCAAAAAAAGATAATACAGTATTTAGATATTTTCATAAATATATTTCTGTATTTTTCAGCAAACCGGAAGTGAATCAATTTCAACACAAGGAACTGAAGGCATAGGTAGTTTTTTTCTTTCTTTTTTCTTTAAACAATAAAGCTTTGAAAGCATATAAATACAAGAACTAAAAGGAATTGGACATAACTTCAAATGCTAATCGATAAATCGAAATGTTTGTGGTTAATAGAACTAGAAATTTAATTACATATGCTTGAAATTATAAAACATACATGTCTATGTCAGAATTGTGTAAAAACAATATTTTATTATATTTCCGAAATTCAAAACTGAGCTTTGTTTTATTTTCCAGTTTTAAATACATCTACCTTTATATATTAATTAGATGAAGTATAACTTAATTCCTTACTTATGCATTAAATTAACATATCAAAACGTTGCATATCAGCAGACAGAGGTTCCGGAAATGCGTCTGCAGACATAGATAGACTGATGCACACAAACGCTGCACAAAGCGTCTTGGAGATGGGTTATCATCCTGACGTCATTAGAAGAGCTATCAGAATGGTCCTGTCTTCAACAGGTTTGCATAAAAAACATTTTTTATCTAGATTGTTTTTTTTTTTCTTCGTTTTGTTTTCCTTTTAGAATTTAATGAATTTAAAACAACTGTGATTAAAGCGTTTGCTTTGTAAACTTTCTCAAGCAATGTTTGTTAATAGTCACCAAGAATCTGAGATGCGTGCTTTCCCAAATGAAACACAATATAATGTTGCAGGGTAAAAAACATGCCTCCATCATTGATTAAAATACAATGTGCGAGATCTCCAATTTAGAATTTAATGGATATTTAACATGATTATATCTGTAGTTCTTAGACTTTTCCATGCATTTGTTTTAGTACGGCTTGAACCCCTTGCTTGTACAAGTAAAGGAACATGCTAAATTCAAAATAGTTTAATCACAAAAGTACTTAGATATGAGTATCTTTATCTTTATAAACGTGTTATAATTTAAATAAGTGTAAAGTAATCAAAACGAAAATTTTCCGAATACTTTTTGATCACCACTCGATCACAAGTGTTTAACTTGTGAAAATGTTTTTGTAAATATTTAAATTTTCATTACCATTTTCTCATTACATGTATTTAGATATTTATATTATTTTATTGTCTTTATTCACAATATGTTATCTTAAAAATGTATTATACTATATAACGAAACAGAATTGTGTATATTTTCAGATGAATTTTTTTATATAATCTTTTTATTGAATTAATTATAATTGACAGAAACATATCGATTATGGATTTTACTGTAATCGATCATTGACCGCCAAGATGAGTTTCTAGACAAGTTTCGACCACCTTTCGAATATAATCAAAATAATTGGAATGTCGCAAGTATAATATGACAGAAGGGGAATAATAATTTAAACCTCGAATTCAAAGGAAATCTGTATTGGTCTACAATTTTCTGAAAATTAACATATCTCCTTTAACAAATTTTATCCGAAGAAATGTGTTCGGATTAAAAATATGTTATTTTCTTATCCACTTTAGTCGCTGATTTTCATCAATTCAAATGTTTGTCGGTAAGGAATTGCCCAAGTTGTGCTCATTCAAAATTGTACCGACTTAATTTTTTTAACAAAGTAAAATGTTGATAAATTTATATTTTATATCTTTAAATAGGACATGGAATTTTAACAGCTACAAACCTACTCGAGAAAATCTTTGAAATCGAAGACTCTCAATCTCAAGAAAATTCTGCACCTGAGAATGCAACAACACAGGAAACAAAAAGTTTAGGAAATAGACATGAAGACGCAACTCCTTCTCAAAACGCCTCTGGAGAAAATGGTGCTGTTGCCAGGGGTAATGAGAAACTGCTTAACAATGGGTCGTCTGAGAACCAACCAGAAACTGCGACTCGTCATAATGATGACGACAGAACATTTGCTGCTAAGAATGTAAATGGCAATAAAAGCCAAGCCAGACAACAGGACGTGTCAAGTATGTCGTCAGGCGGAAGTAAACGGGCAAATTTAAAGCAAACGACACGTGAAAGGCCCGCAAGCCGTAAGAAATTTTTATTTAAATAACAGGTTTTCCGAGGGAAATAACTGGTTATTAGATTGAGATATGTCGGCGGGCGGGCGTAAACAATTTCTTTTGTACGCAACTCCTTCTACCTTTCCCAAGGGATTTTGACCAAACTTTCAAAGAAGCTTTGTCATCAATTGCCCTGACGAATATTATATATCAGGGTTATGTGATTACATATTTTTTTTTACCTAATTATGGCCCATTGTTATATTTTCCCTCATATAGACTACATAGTGAACAATTTCTTCTGTGTGCAACTCCTACATTTTAATGGAATTTTGCTACACTTTCGCTAAAGCTTTGTCATCAAGTGCCCTGCTGTTTGGGATTGCATAATTTTTTTACCTAATTATGACCCTTTGTTTTTTTCCTCGTATAGAATGTATAGTGAACAGTTTCTTCTTTGCGCAACTCATCCTTCATTTCTCAAGGGATTTTGACCCAACTTTCACAAAAGTGTTGTTATCTAGTGGCCTAGGGCTAATTGTCGGGGTTTTGTAATGGCATATTTTTTTACCCTATTATGGTCCTTTTGGGGTTTTTACCTTATATAGAATACATAGTGAACAATATCTTCTGTTCGCAACTCCTCCTACATGTTTAAGGAATTTTGACCAAACTTTTACAGAAGCTTTGTCATCAAGTGCCCTGGCGCATATTGTCGGAGTTTTATGATTGGATAATATGATCCTCTGATTTCTTCCTTATATGGAATATATAGTGAACAATTCGTTCTTTGCACAGCTTCTCCTTTTATTCTCAAGGGAATAAGATATTTCATTTAAACTTTGTGTATATGAAATATGAAAAAAAAATTACTTGGGATTGTTTTGGCCCCTTATGGTACAGGTAATTGTTACTAAAAATAGAAATTAAGTTTCTGATCAATAACCTAAAGTTTGGCATGAGATATTTTAGTGAAACTTGGTGTATATCAAGGTTATTTTAAGACCTCATTTACGATTGCTTTTGGGTCTCCTAGGTCAAGGTCAATGCTACAAAAAAAGGAAATAAATTTCTGGTCGATAACTTTAGTTTGGATTGACATATTTTAATGTACTTTGGTTTATAGAAACCCTTTGGATTCCCTTGGGTCAAGGTCACTGTTACTAAAAATAGAAAATCTGATTTCAGGCATTAATTAGAGTTTAGAATTAGATATTTCAATAAACTTTGTGCATAGAAATCTTATGTGAAGATTTTTCTTGGAATTGCTTTTGGGTTCCCTAGGATCAATAAAAGGTCACTGTTACTAAAAGAGGAAATTGGTTTCAGGTCTATAACTTGATTTAGGAATGAGATGTTAATTGAACTTGTATATTATTCCGCAAGTATTTGAAAGCTTCAATTCAGATTGCTTTTGAGCACCATTGGGTAATTGTCTTGGGTTTAATGCACAAAAGTATACCGTACATTGCTTGTATTTATATTCCAATGACAACATAATTTTCAACAGTGGTGATAATTGAGAACCTGGTTTCGTAGCATTGCCATGTTTCTTGTTGGTTTTCTTTTTTCAAAAATCAAGAAACAAAACGTTACAACTTTTTGCCAAATTCTAACTGCTTAAAAATCTATTTACACACAATAATCTAGCAATGTTTTCTAGATTATATATTATATAAATTTATTATATATGCTGGGATCGTGTGGTCTTTTGATTTTCATTTATCTATAATCATTCTTTTTTCCAAGTTCAACGTGACCGCAAAATGTTCCTCATCTTTGTTCAAATTTGCATTGTTTCTACGACATTCTGTCTAAAGGGTGTTCTTACTACCCTACGCAGATTGCCCATGCTCGAGAACATACTTCATCATGCATAGCACCGGGCCGTGTCATGATAAAGGTCTTAAACTCTTATTTTTATAGCTAATTACTTTTAAAACATAATAATGATATACTTTATATAACCTTTAAAAGATATGAATATCAAAGACAAAAAATTGTTGACGTTTGTTTTTCTTTTCGAATATGTAGAGGATATTCAAGTTTTTCTCTAAATACAGGATTTATTTTCATCGAGTGGTATGAAAATTACATTCCACAAGATGAAAATATATCCTGTATTTATAGAAAAAGAATTTTATATTTTCTGTTTATTATATATATATATATATATATATATATATATATATATATATATATATATATATATATATATATATATATATATATATATATATATATATATATATATATATATATATATTTTTTTTTTTTTTTTTTTTTTTTTTTTTTTTTTTTTTTATTTTGACTTTACAATTTTAAAGAAATATCTTAAATTTAGAACAAAGTAGTCCGACAAGACATCAGTGCAAAAACGGAAAATATGTTTCACTGCAGTGAAAAATAAATTTTTACATCAATATTTCTCAATTTTTCATTAATCAGTATATAATAAAAAGATCTCAATCACATTTTATTTTCACTACAGTTGATGCACATATTAGGGAGCAGAAAAGGCTAAAGGAGGAAAATGATATGTTAAAACAACAATGTTTATGTACACAGTGTCATGTTAATGACGTCTGTATCGTTTTCTTACCATGCGGACACCTTGTCACGTGTGAAACATGTGCACCTACTGTACGATATTGCACGGTGGCCACGTGTGGCAAATATATTAGAGGTACCGTGCGCAGAAGCCTGGCTTAAAGAATTTAAAGAAAGAAGGACGACTGAATAGACAATGTATATATTCATGAACGTATCTTAAAGAAAAGGGAAACCATTTTTACAAAATAACAGTTTTGTAAACATAATTGTTATTATATTTAAGAATACCTTACCGTACTTATCCAGTCTTGAATTAAAAATGAGTGAAACACCTCTGGTGTATCAGGTGTGTTGTTAGCTTTGACATATGATTTAGATATTTCAGTGCTTTCAAATTATTTGCTATAAATTCTTACAAAAATACTATATGACTGTACAAATTATCATGTACTTTTGTAATTGTTTGTATTTAATCATTTTATTTGTATTCTTTCTGACTATATATTTTGTGCACATTGGCACTTATGATGAAGACAAGTTTGTAAATATCTAATTTTATTACACATGGTAGTATTTGATTATAATCGCCAATGTAAAATGCATAGAGGATATTTATTTGTTTGTGTGTAAGATGAAATTTTATTTCATCGAGTGAGCAGTAAAAACAGTATTCTCACTTTTTTTTAAAAGTCCATGTTTTCCAATTTCTTAGCCTCGTTGCTTGGTTACTTATAAAAAACAAACTGTTCTAGTCGGAGAAAAAGTCACACCATCCCGTATTTCCTTTACTTAAGGCGGATTTATATAAGACCAAGCTTTGTGTAATATAAGCGGCCGTCGTTTTTGAAAGTTGTGTATTTGACGGGAGGAAAATAATTTTGTTTGATTCAGAGGGATATCATTTGGATTTGATAGCCATACATCTTTTTATAAGAAAGAAAATTTATTTGAGGATTGTTACAGACGGTAAATAAGTGATGACAGATGTGTAAACATTCAAAAAGCGGCTAAGAAATTGGAAAACGTGGACTTTTAAAAAAAAGTCTTGTTGAAAACTGCCATACGAATGCTGGGTTGTTTACTTATTCTTCAGACTGATGGCTGTCATTGCTTTTCAAGTTTTCGTATTGCATAAGTAAGTTTTGTCTAAGGGTACTTAAATATGCCCAAATGTTATCAAAAGAAGCTTTGCATTTGGAAGGAATTGTAATTTTTAAGACTGTAAAAATGAAACAAAAATTTTGAGACGATATTTGGTAATTGGTAATTTTAATGAATTGAAGTAAGTTTTGTTTTTTCATAACTTTTGAAATTCAAATTATTTATCAATTTCAGCTTTGATTTTTTCTAAACAGCCCAGTCAATGTCAGAATTGTCAGCAAAAATAAAATTAAGGTCCACATGGGAAAATCGTAAAAAGTTAGTCTCGTCATTGAAAAGTGTGAAATTATATTTTGATAATTTTCACTGTGAAATTATCAAATATAATTTTCACAGATAAATAAGTAATCCACTGAAATTCGTAAAATGAGTACCACTACCTCTAACTATTCAATATTACCACTACCTCTCACTATTCGATATATGCATGGCTTTTATCCAGTTTATCTTATATTTAATCAACACATAAAATATCAACTAAACATTTAGAATGTCTTACAAAAGCTGATATTATCAATAATTAATATTTTTAATGTTGCTTTTTTTGATAACGGCCGTATATCAGTGTACATATTTTAATTGTTTTAAGTTCAGTTGTGTATGTTGTTATATAAATATCAAGCAGAAAATCTTTACGATTTTTTATCGGACTCCCGACCGATATAATGTTTATATACTTTTTTTTAATTTTTAATTAATCACGTTTTTTATAATGGTGACATTCCAGACTAATTTTTTGTCAATTTGGCTCTACTCTAAGTTTACACATTTTATTAGAAATATTTTTATTGTCTTCACCGTTTCGTTGTTATTAATTTTATTGTTATTAATCTATGTTCCATCAGAGATGTGTATTATTTTGTGGCAATGGCTTACATTTTTATTGTATTCTCATATCAGCTGTGGTTAAATACTTTGTGATTGTGTTTCAATATCCGGGTTGTGTTGTTTATTTAATTTCAAAGCTTTTTGTGTTCATTTCTGTTATTGTGTTCCCATATCCGCTGTTTATAACCTTTTTGTTTTCATTTTTATAATTGTGTCCCCATATCCGCTGGTTTATAACCTTTTTGTGTTCACTTCTGTAATTGTGTTCCCATATCTGCTGGTTTATAACCTTTTTGTGTTCACTTCTGTAATTGTGTTCCCATATCCGCTTGGTATCTATATATCCTACGATGTGTTATAAATGACTTTTATTGTTAAACGTATTTTAATATGTATATTGATTTATAATTATTTTTGGCTTTCTTTACTGAAAACGCATATCAGAAAAATATCCTTTTATTATTAAGAGGATATTTTTTCGTTTGAGTGAAATATGGAATATATTTTCACGAAACATGATAAAATACCACATATTTTCACGAGCCGGGACGGCGAGTGAAACTATGTGGCATTTTATCATGTTGAGCAAAAATATATATCATATTTCACGAAAAACGAAAATATAACTTTTTTATTTAATTTCAGTATCAAAGAAAAATACGCAATTGTACAGCGCGCAGTAATATAATTATTGTCTTGTTATTACGCGATATTTAGCGCTACATTGTAACGTCTCGTAAACAACTCCTTAAACGTCTGTGATAATATGAGTTTTGACTCCGCCCACTGTCATATTTATATTTAAGAAATAACATCGGCCTGAGAGGTGTATATCGGCTATTTAACACCGGTTTGGAGTTTTGATGCATAGGAATTGACCACGATGGTTTAAAAAATATGAAATATATTTGACTAATATAGCACCATATTTCAATGGTAAAAATAAATAAAAATGAATGTATAATTATTATCTTTTACCAAATCAAAAACTGATTTACAATATTTTTTTCTTTGATTATGATTTTGTTTACATTTTGATAACCATTTGATATTATTATAATTGTAATATTGAACTGTTTGAAGTTATTGTAAAGGTGCATGCGAAGTTTTATGCAGCAGGGTCAAAAAGACTATAAAATGTAATAATTATAAAGGAATGTGGCATCTTATGCTATTAAATTTTGTTATTTTACAGCTGAAATTTGTTCATGTTTTATCATTGACCCGTATAACATGCTGCCCTGCGACAATTATTTAATTGATCATTTATTTGGTAAATAAAAGAAAGTCTTCCATTTTAGTTTATACAAATTTATTTTAGTTCAATTTTTTTGGAAGCTTATTGAAAAACTCACGAATCCGTTCCTGGAACCAACAAGTATTAAGCATGAATGTTTCTTGCTCAAGAAAACAACGGCTTGCCTCTGTCAGGTTTTGTACGCACGCGGTCAGCAAACCTTAGACTACTAGTCCAACGCGAAAACCACTCGACCACGTCGCAGTGTAGAAACATGAAACAAGCATGTTCGTAAGTAGCAATTAGAGAAGAACAATCATGCATAATTGGATTGAATATTTTTCATTTGTTATCACATTAAGTTTTCATTTTGATGAATTATTTGATGAAATGCCATCCGAAGTTCCGATTGCAATAAAAAAAAGTAAGCTTCAAGCTCCTTTCTCCATTTCTTGCGTCCGATTAACGATCAATGAAGTCTTATGCATTGAATATCTCATCGAAAATTAGGTTTTCTGAAATTGTGTCCAAATGTCGGATTTTTAAAAACGGACTTAGCAGTTAGATAATGGATTCATGGAAATCAAGTCTTATTAATTGACGTCCGCGACTCGCAATCGGTGAACTGTTAAACAAAACTACATTATACAATGGTAGGATACAGTGTCATCGCGCACATACAAAATGCTCCCAATCCACAGTATATGAACGAAATCACTGTACCCTGTATTGCGAGCCTTCACAATTCAATATGTGTCCTGCGTTAAATTTTTTTTTGATTTTATAACGATTTCTTAAAAATGTTAACATACTTTACCTCCAAGTCGATGGGATGTTGACACACAAAAAAATCAACAACAAAAAAGAACCGAAAATAAAAAACAAAAAATCACAACAGAAAAACCAACGAAAACAGTCCGATTTGGAACATTTTGCAGGTGCGCGATGATGATATATCCTACCATTGAATATTCATTTGACATCATTTTATGTATGTTCTATACTAACTTATCGGATGCGTGCAAACGAAGAAATATTCTTTGAAAACGCACGTGTCACAGGTTCATATACGTAGTACGGTACATGTTTATATGTGTTATTGTTTGTGCTATTAAATGTCCTATAGCTTTAATTTTCATCATACTTTTCATTCATCCCCATATTGATCATATACTAACCACCATTACGGGCCTCTCTATCTAACTTTCTACTTCATTGATTCACTACACTACGCATGCGCACTATTTTGTAAGATTTTGATGGCGAGAGCCGCGATTTTCGAATGCTAATTAAATTATTTGAAAGCGCATAATTTGTGTATTTACAGGTAAACTGGTAGATTGTTTTGATGCTCTGATTCATTCTTTCCATTTTGTCATTCATCATTTTCATTGATATTTTGTATTTTGCACTATTTTGTAAGATTTTGATGGCGAGAGCCGCGATTTTCGAATGCTAATTAAATTATTTGAAAGCGCATAATTTGTGTATTTACAGACCCTCTGTCCAGGTCCCAAGTACTTTAACCCACAGCGTCCATCAGAAACCCCCTTATCTTTTGGACTTTGGACTGCGACAATTGGCGCCCAACGGGGGACTTGGGCTGCCACAACGCTGGAGTAACTTTTGGGTCGATAGTTCCGGGGACGAACGTTGAGCGATGATCAGTC